ACCCTTTCTACTTAATAGCTAAGTTACTTTACTCTCTCAGCCTCAGTTTACTATCCAGTAAAATGAGTACATTTTATCCATCTCAAGCCTGTCAAAAGAACTAGACAAACTAGTACATATAAAGAACTTAACATGGTGCCCAGTACATAATAAGCATTCAGTAACTAATAGCTGAAAAAGAAAAACTGTACAGAAAGTCCACACTTCTCAAGGATCTTATTTTTAAAATGTGCACCATATCGGTTTCTTGCTTAAAATGTTCAAGTTGCTTCCCACCACACTTACGGTAAACCTCAAACACTCTGCCATGGGCCACGAGGCCTGTGAGAACCTGCTCTCTCCCGACCCCTCCAATCTTTTCTGGCCCACCGTTTCCCACCTTCTATGTTTCACAAAACCACCCAATTCTTGCCAACCTCAGGGCTTTCACAACTGCTTTGACCATGGCCTCCATCTCAGCCATTAGGCCTTAGTGTAAATGACACCTTTTCAGAGAGGTCCTCCCAGGCCTTCTCATGTGAAATGCACACCCCACCCAACCCATCGCACCCATGGTACTCTCTAGCACAGTATCTTCTTTGCTTTCTTTCAGAGCCCTTACCACAATTTATAATCATTTTGTTTTCATTTACTTGCTTATTGGCTGTCTCCCCTCCATGACCATAAGCTGGTAGGAACCACAACTAACTTGTTCACAGTTGCTAGGGAAGGGTCTGGCTCACAAGAGGTGCTGAATAAAAACTTGCTGAATGAATCCAGGCTTCACTCTACAGCTACCCTCCCTTCAATAGTCAAATATTTCCATCCAACAGATCTAATCTAGCTTGGAGCTATGAGCTAGCTTTGCCCCTAACTTGCTGGTAGCAGAGCTGAGGCACTTGCCCTCCATGGGGAAGTACCTGGAACTGTTGGTGCAGGTTACCTGCCTTGGGCCCATATTCTTCGACTCCAGCACTTATTTTCTCTACTCTCTGAACAGCAAATATGCCTGCGGGGTGTGGCATGTGTCTTACCCCCTCCTCTTTCTCTCTTTCTAGGCAAAGCACTACATCCTTCTAGGTTTCCTAAGAAGTTATAAATACTAATAACTTCTGGGTGGGGGGAGGGGCACTGATAGGATAAAACTCATTTGCAACTTTTGTAGGACTTTTTACTTCAACATGGAAGGCCAAGTAAGGTTTGCTCTATGCCAGTAGCTGGCCAAAGCCTGTTTCCCCCTAAGCAGCAGGTTTGTTCACCTCTGGCTCACCCGTGGGATCCTGGGGGCCTCCCTGTTACCCAGTAATTAATTCCCTAAAATACCTTCAGTAGCATTTCTCTTTACTTCAGTGAGAAGCCGATTTCTTCCCTCCTTAGCCCACTATATTAACTTTATAGGTAAGATTCATCTCAGTCTAAGGGAGGCCTGGCAGAAGGGATTTTGCAGATGTGACTAATTTAAGAATCTGGAGATGGAAGGAGTATGCTGGATTGTCCCTCTGGGACCAGTGTAATCACAAGGGCCTTTGCGAGAGGGAGGTAGGAGGGTCAGAGTCAGAAAAGGAGATGTGCAGAGAAGCAGAGGTTGGAGTGATGTGCTTTGAAGATGGAGGAAGGGAACATGACCCGAGGAATGCAGGCAGCCTCTAGAAGCTGGAAAAGGCAAAAAGATGGATACTACCCTGGCGCATC